GAAGTTATTGATACAAAAATGTGTCATCAGATGGTTTACATTCTCACAACGAATAACTTATAATTTATGTATATTTGCACCTATTTTGGTTTGTTAGTTCGTGATGAATTGGTCTTTCTCTGGTAGTTTTTGCCACAAAAGAGTACAACAGTTTTGATAGCTTTGAATTCTACTTGTACATATCTAATTCATATTATTCCTTATAAACAATTCAACTTTTAGTTGGGGACTTGGTGTTGGAATCATGTGTATGATGTCTGCTGGGAAGGCTGAAATCAGTATGATGTCTACTGGGAAGGCTGAAATCAGTATGATGTCTACTAGAATAAGATATAAAACTGAAATCATGCAAACAAATCTTCTTTTACCAACAAAGATGCTACTAGAATAACAAACTCTAATATTTTCATAAAATCCAACCACAAATCTATTGATTTCAAATGCATATCTATCCAGGTGGAGCCTAAGTCCATCCTGCGAAATTGATCTTTCAAATATATTGATTTCTTTTTTTGAGAAACTACTCATTAAGAAAATTGAAAAAAAGCACTCCTGATTAGGAATCAAAAGTTGTGTTTAATAAATAAATTAAACCACTCACTGATCAGAAGATAAAAAACCAAACCCAAAACACATGTAAAGTAGGTTCCTGCTGGTTTTGATTTACAAAGTAATTATTTTTTTAGTTAAACATCATCATCACATAAACATTTACACTATTCTTGAATCTTAGATTAGATTTCTGGGCTAAATTATTTAAGGCACATAAAAAAAATAAAAAAAAAGTAAACAAGGCTTTGATAACTGGAAGAAGATATGATGTGAAACAAATCAAGATCAAAAAATTTTGCCACCAACATTGTATAAGTTTATGTAAATAAACAATTTAGAATTCTACAGCTATTTCTCACATCCTCCATACCTACTACAATGCAAAACAGGCCAAAGAATCAACAATACTCTTGAAATGAAATCTTCCTTCCACTTAGCTGCCATCCTCACAAAGTTGGATTTAAACTCACCCGCATTATAGAAACATGATTTCATGAGGAAACAAAAATGTCTAATAATTGACTGTTGCAAGTCTGAGTCAAGTAACAAGTATAGGAATCAAAATATTTTTTAATGTAACTTGTTTGACCTTTGAAGAAAAATGAAAGCGAGGATAGAAACTTGCAAATCATAAAGTACAGTTTTAAATCTTTTCTTTCCACAAGTATAGGGTGTTCTCAGATCTTTCCTCATTCCTCATATATATATATATATATATATATAATATGTTTAAGTCTTTAAATGCCATAACTAAGCCATCATAACAACTAAATTGCAAGCTCTCAAAAAAATGACAGGATCCAAAAATTTATGTTTTCAACATTTCTTCACTTTTATGGTGCATTGAACCACAATTGAAGCATTTTTTGTTACTTTCTAGCCCAAATAACACATAAACCTCTTTGATAATCCTATATATATCTGCCACATCCTAAGCACCTATGCTTTGTGGATTTTCATAATTAATTCAGATAAGTAGCCAACACTTTTAGACAACCCTTGCCATCATAATTACTGTCTCGGCAAGTCCTTATTGTGACAAATTTAGGATGAACCTAAGCCACACAGCCATTCTTAGATTACCAGACTAAAGTCAATAGCAACCCAGCTGTTAACTCCTTAAAAGTATATTAAATCTTAGTAATCCCAATAAATGTTGCAATGTTTATACATTTTGCAATAAGCCAGCTTTTTTTATTTTATTTTAAACAAAGTAAGAAACCTATTCAATGGATACAAAAAAAAAAAAAAAAAAAGAGAGAGGAGAGAGAGAGAGAGAGACAAAAAATAAATAAATGATAATATAACCTCCATTGTTCAATGCAAGCACTATAACAGTTCCTGTGGAAATTCATGAAGAAAAAATGGTTCTCATTGTCTTAATGTATAATATAATTTCTCTTCTCTTCTCTGAACTAGCAAAATTAATAACTTCACAAAATTAAGTCTAGAAATTTTGTGAACTCAGTGAATAAGTGAACTCAGTGAATTCAGGAACTAACTCAGTGCATAACCAAAATAAGTGCATAACTTATAATTTCTCTTCTCTAAACTTCTCCTGGTGGGTTTGTGTCTTCTCTTTGATTCACAAATTATGTACTAGTCTTAAGCCAAAAAGTGGAATTTCCACTTTTTGGAATGGATTGGAATGGGAAGACAATTCCTGATTACCTACTCAAGCTGAAATCACTTTCCAAACTAATCAAAAATTTGATCCCCATACTCCTATGGTAATCTCACATTCTGGAGGAATATAAAACCATTTAAGAGTGAAAAATTCCTAACTAAATCAATATTTAAAATTTAAAATTCCTAACTAAACACATTTCTGGGGCAATATTTAAAATATTTCCATTTTCCCAAAAGAGAATTCCTAACTAAATTAAGCGCTTGATTCAACATTTTTATATATTCTCCACCATATATATATAGATTTTTTAGGGAAATCCAATGTATGTAAAATTAGGGCAAATCAAATCAAAATCAAAATCCAAATCCTCATAAACAGATGAAATCAAAGTCAAAGGCACAAAAATCTCAACAAATCAGGGCATATATATAGGTGTATATATATAGAGAGAGAGAGATAGAGAGAGAGAGAGAGAGAGAGAGAGAGAGAGAGAGAGAGAACTGACCTGTGCAGACAGATCTGTAGAGAAGACGGAGAGAAGCTGCGCTCGTCGTGAGTGAAAGATGATGACGGAAAGAAGCTGCGCTCGTCGGGTCGCCGGGGTTGTAGAAGCTGCGTTTAACCTCGATCGTCGCTGGGTTTGAGAGCTTGTCGGGGTCGCCGGTGTTGGAGAGATGTGATTGTCAAGAGAGAGGAACAACAGAGGAGAAGTTCAGAGAAGAGAAGTTCAGAATAGGGAGAGAGAGAGTCTCAAATATATTGTCAAGATGAATTTGAAATTTGAAATGAATGAGAAGAAAGAGAAACGGGCGAGTTTGCATCGCATTACCACGTTGGCAGCCACGTCATTAGTGCCGATTTAGTGGTGAACTTTTAGTGATCGGAAGCATTTATGTTATTATTATTATTATAAATTTAGAGATTATTTAGTATGTACTACTTATTTGGATTACACTGCAGATAATATTAGGATATAAAATTTTCTATCAAATAATATTTTTGTGACTCCATATCCATATAACACTTTTCATAAGAGTGCTGCTATTAACACCTACTAAAATTCTTTGGAGCCCCCATTTCTTTGGACCCCAACCCTAAACCCTAAATTTTAATAATATTTTTGTAGACACCCCACTTATTACCAAATCTACCCATATTCACAATGAGATGCACACCCACCTGAATCCATTCTAATTCCCTCTCTTTTCTCTCTCTCTCTCCTCATCAGTGATGTCTCTTCTCTCTCTTTTCCCTCACTCTCTCAAAACCCCTTTTGTTCATATGAGAAAGTGAAGATTTTTCTCTCTCTTCTCTCTCTTTCAAAACCCCTTCAAAGCCCTAGTTTTTTTCTCTCTCTTCTCTCTTCAACATTAACCACATCTAAAAAGTGGTTCCTGAAAACACAATGCATTTACTTGTGAGGTTGGTGTTCTTCGTCGATTAGGATTTCGACGACATGGGTCTCTTTGGAATTTGCCATTGATTGGGAAATTTAGATGAGAAAGTGAAGATTGATGCGAATTGTAGGAATAGAAAACAATGTATATATATGGAAAACTAATCTCCATAATATTTCCATAATATTTTCAGAATAGAAAATTAATCTTCATATTTTTACAATGAAAAGCACACCCACCCAATTTATTCACCACTGTGTAGCCGAAAAAATGTATTTTGTTCAGAACTGTTTTGTCGAACAATAATGATCCTGTCAGCACTGTATGTCCGAACAAAATTTGTTCATTACTGTGTAACTTGAATCCATTCTAATTCACAACTTAAAATAACATGAATTAAATCCATTAAAAATACATAACTTAAATTCATTCCAATTCACTCTTTTCCATTCTAAGTTAGTTTAATAAAGAAAATTACATAACTGACTATCTGCATTAATGTTCGGAACTTATGTATTGAACGAAAGGATTATGTTCAGTACTGTGTTACCGAACATAATTGTAACAGTCAGCAAACCAGTACCGAACAGCTTGAACGAAACAAGAACGACCGAAAACGACCGAAAACGTTAATACAAGATAGTCAGCATTGTATGTCCGAACAAAATTTGTTCATCACTGTGTAACTTGAATCCATTCTAATTCACAACTTAAAATAACATGAATTAAATCCATTCAAAATACATAACTTAAATTCATTCCAATTCACTATTTTCCATTCTAAGTTAGTTTAACAAAGAAAATTACATAACTGACTATCTGCATTAATGTTTGGAACTTATGTATTGAACGAAAGGATTATGTTCAGTACTGTGTTACCGAACATAATTGTAACAGTCAGCAAACCAGTACCAAACAGCTCGAACGAAACAAGAACGACCGAAAACGATCGAGAATGTTAATACAAGACAGATAAACGACCGAGAATGTTGTCCTCGTCCTCCATTGCTTTACACAGTGAAATAAGTGATGAAGTATACGTTATACTTGAAGTAAAACTTTCAAGTTCAATAGCGTTGATGATGGTGATGAAGATGACACATTCAGAATTTAAGATGATTATGAAAAATAATAGATTTAGGGTTTATGTTAATTGGTTATGAAAAGTAATAGGTTTAGGATTTATAAATATGGAATACTTATAATTGGAGTTGGAGTTGGAGTTGGAGGTGGAAGTGGGGGTGGGGGTGTGGGTAGGTGTCTAATATTATAGAATATTAGTTATTATTGATAGGTGAGTGTTCCATTTCATAATATCTTTTAATGTAATTTTATTTTAAGGTATAATTGTAATAAAAAAATTATAAAATGAGGAGTCAAAAAATTTTGACAGTGCTAATAGCAGCACTCTTTCATAATTCATTTAGTAAAAAATTTGGGATAGCATTTTCCTTCCATCACCTCACCTGGTTACTGGTTTGCTGCATTTGTACATCGTTTTGTTTCCGTTCCCGAAAGCCGCGGACATTTTTGAAAGAAAAAGAAGAAGAAAACGCGGGCGTGTTGGGCAAAAATTCACATAACTGCGTCTTATGTATCCGAAGACAAGTCTTTGTTCGATGAATCCGACATTGACTAGAAATTGAAACTCGTCTGGTCAACCAACGTTCGAGCAAGCAGGTTATCCTAAAGGTCTAGTACTCAACTTCTTTCATGATTGTTATCTTCCAGTCAATTCAATTACGTACATACATACATATATAGCGTTCGAGTTTTCTGATTCTGCAGTCTGGACATGGTGAACTATGTTATATGTGAGACGTAGTGAACAGTTGGGTCAGTGGATATGTCATTTGTTGTAATGATTTGATTAAAGCCTGTAAGGTGTTTGATATGTGGACTCTATTACAATTTCTCAAGCTGTTTCTCAACGTTTTGCCCATTTGGTGTTTTCTTCATTGTTAATCATTATGCCCACTTTAGATTGGATTTGTAGAAGATGACTGACTGCTTAGAGCATCTCCACCGCTTCATCAAAATTTTTATCAAATTTGAGTAAAAGTTTGAGTTGATATGATGCGCTCCAGTCGTTTCATCAAATTCGGCCAATTGTCCGGCCTAGAGTAAATTTTCACCAAATCTTCCCAAATCTGATTGCCCACCCGTCCACCAATGGTCTCACCTACAAAATTTGATGAAAGTTTTGGTTTTGCCTTCATTTGATATGAGTTTGATGACACGGTTGGAGCCCAAAAAGTAGGTGCTTTTCATCACATTCAAATTTGATGAAATATCTGAGTAAGGGTTGGATATGGTCTTAGATGAGATGTTCGAATGTTCTATTGAATTGGGTTGACTCACTGAATTTTAGTACGGACTATTGGGTGTTCATAGGCCTTCTTCACTATAAAAATAAAAACATGACTTAGAAAAGGTTTTTAATGCTTGTTTAAAAATTTTCTAGTGAGAATGTAATTGGAATTAGTTTTGACCATTTAACGTGCTCTGGGCAGTTGCCAATTTCTTAATTTTTAGTTTGAAACATTTTAGCGTTTGAAGGTAAAAAAATAAATAAAAAATAAACTACCACCTGAGCTCCAGGTGAAGGACAAAAGTAGCGTCAGGGAGTTGTTTTGATGAATAATGTGTTAACATATTTATGCGTGCTTGTATTCATGGATTAAGCATGCCCATGTATGCATGTAACTATCTGTCTTAGTTTTTCTCTGAATTGCAGGAATTTATGGAGCGGATTAGATGTAGAGAGCTGGCCTCTTCATCTTCTTTCTGCAGCACAATTTATTCAGAGGTGACTTGAATTGTCAAATTTGTAAAAATAAAACTGTTAGATTTTCCTGTCCTACAACATCTATCATAATACCTGCAAATTTGCATGCCATGTAACTAACTAGTTCCTATTAAATTACTCAAAAGTGACGTATCTTGCTGTGATACAACTTTTTTTGCATCTTGCCTAGTGATTTGTAGTCATCCTTGCCTTCTCTTTATATTGTTACCATGTGTCACTTAAATTGTGGAACTTTAAGCCAAACACCTCTTTTTTCATTCTTAATCAGATGATCATAATTGTTATTCCACATACAGATAGAAGAGGTTGGTTGGGAGCATCTGGTGAGGCTGGGTGAAGACCTAACATTTCTCAGCTTCCGAATTTTGTGAGATTCTATCACCTAAAGCAGTATTTATTTGCAAGTATTTCATGTAGGAAGGCATTTTCTAAGATACTCTTACTTATAGTAGCATCTATTTACAATTGTCTTGTGTAAGGAAGAATTATCTAGCTTTTCTTTTGCCACATCATATGCATTATCAGCCTAAATTTAGTTTATATGCTTCTCCCTATTCCCTTATCCTGTGCTTTGCCTGCAAACAGAACTATGAATGTTTTGGCACTTAAGATTTTAATGTTTTGCTTTCAGTTTAAGAAGATAGGATTTATGATGAGCATGAATTTTGGTGTAAGGAGGCTATGTGACAGCTTAACAATGGAAAAGTCACTTGTTGATAATACTGACAAAGTGGAATATTATGATATGCACATAATTATTGTTTTCCTCGGGTTGCAAAGCTTTTTTCTGGGCCAAGGTTTAAATTAGTATGTAAGCTGTAAAGAGAAAGGAGAAATCGAAGTGGAATTTGGAAAGAGAAGAAGCATGCCTTCTTTTATGAAGAAATGTTTTTCAATTCGTTGCTTTGGGAAAGCATTAAGGTCATGTTTGTTTGGGCGGACTGAATTAGGTTGGATTAGCATTCTCATGACTAATAGTCCGAGGACTACAAACCCCTTTGGATTGCGTATCATATCTTATGTTTGGATTGAGTTAGAATCACAAGGAGAGACAGACTTTGGCATAGTCCTGGCTTAGTCCTTCAATTTATATTCCACCCCCCTCTGTGGAGTTGAATAGTCCATCATATGTGGGATACCGTATCCGGATAGATTGTTAATCCGTACTTCAATTTTTTAACCAAACATCGGATTAATAATTTTATTGGACTATTAGTCCAATCCCAAGCTCATGTCCACCCAAACAAACATGACCTAAATTAAGATTCTGTAATTAAATGCATTCACACTTTGGACTTTAATTTCATTAATTCAAATTTGTTATTTTATTTTGATTTGTTATGTCTCTAATTATTTTATTTTTGATAGGGTAGGTTTTGATTGGCTTTAATAATTTTTCTTTCGTAAGAAATAATATAAGGTTTTAGGAAGTACATTTAAATGCATTCACATTAGACTTTAATTTCATTTAATGTTTCAAATTTGTTATTCTATTGTGATTTGTTGTATCTTTAACTATTTATATATTTTTAAAATAAAATATCAATAAAAATAATGCTATTTTTTTAATTAAAATTTTAAATAAATTTATTTTAAAAATAATAATAATTAAATAATGAAATTAAATAAAACATCTATTAAAATTTAAATATTGAAATTAAATAAAATATAAACAAAATTTTAAAATAAAACATCAATAAAAATTAAATAAAATTATTTTATTTTTAAATTGAGACATTTAAATTTTATTGAATTTTACTAAATATAATACATAATTAAATAGTAGAGGGTTAAAATGGTCATTTCACTACCTAATCGCACATCTCCCCTTATCCCCCTATTTGTGTCCAACAAGCCCCCATGGGACACAATTGTCCAATACATTTGGGACTAATAGTTATGAGAGACTATTAGTCCGGAGCAAAATTAGAAAACTAAATAACGGATATAAATCCTATCCCAACCTCCAATCCTTGCAAACAAATCCAAACTGAGTATCTCAAAAGTTTTAAGATTCTTCACCTATACAAGGAGTGGAACTATAAATACATGGAAAGCAGATGGTGCTTTCTGGTTCAATTTTCTTAAGTATATTCTGTTTTAAGGATGTGGTTAGTCTTTAATTTTTCTTCTATATATATATTTTTCATATATTTCAGATTGAAATTTTATTGTCATAAGTTAAAGATTTTAAATTTTAAGTTAGATTTTGGAGATCTGGGGTGTTTGGAAAATTGTGACTTGACTAATGAACAATTGCACCATTGGTTTTTACACTGTTGTGAATCATCTGTGCAGTTTTGGGTACAACTTTAATGATTCTTTTGAGTACCAGAAAGAAGAGAAAAACAATTATACTAATATACTCCATAAAGAATGATATATGATCAATGGAGACCTGTAGATGCAATGGTTAGGAAGAGTGATATGATCAACATAAATGGAAATGTTAGGGGGAGAGGAAGGCCTAAATTAACATGGATATGGTAGCAAGCAAGGATATGGATTTATTTAAATTTACTTGAGAATATAGCCTTTAACAGAGTTGATTGACGAAAAAGGATTCATGTAGCCGATTCGCTTGGTTGGGACACAATGCTTAGTTTGGTTTGGTTATTTCTCATAATGCACTTATGAAGTTTGTAGATTATAATCACCCGTATTGCATTTTCTTTGAAGTACAAGAATTTTTTTTAGTATCAATAGTGTTTTCTATGCTTACAACTAAAAATAAATTAAACAAAATGAATATCTACTAAAACTAGGGGTGGAATTGAGGGAGCAGTGACGATTGATAACTTGTATATATATATGTATCTAATATTGTTAGATTGTCCAGAAAATGTTAAGAATGAAGAGGATGTTGTATATAAAGCTAGAGAAGATGATGGTGGGTGGGTACTAGCGCTTCCATGTATTATTTTATGGAGATCATTGTGAGTCTAACAATCTCATGTGTTATGGTAAGGGATGCTAAATGAGACTATAAACTGAGACAAGTTGACACAGGGATGTTGAAATGTATGACAATTACAAGTTGCACAATTTGAGGTCACCATGAGAGAGAACCAGTTTTAAATGATCTGGTCACGTAAAGCAGTTATTGGGTGTTGTGAAATTATTGGTGTCTTTTATTAATAAAAACATTTTTCTTTCCCAATATTTGTCCGAATGCTGCCAACCGTCAATGACTATTTGTTACTATTTTGTGATCTCCTTTCATACTTTTGTTAGTGTTGCTTTTTTATTCTGATAGTGACCTAGTTTTGTACTTTTGAGTGCCAGAGACAAGAAGGGAAGAACGCACACTTTGGAGATTGTATTGGATGAAACCTATCCGAAAAGCCCGCCTTCAATTTCAGCGGTTGGTTTCAAATAATCTCTTTGATTTTTGAATATCTGCCATGTGAGGCCTAAATTGGAATTTTCCCTCAGGATGTGCCTTGTATGTTTGATTTGGAATGGTCAATAAAATCAAGATTGAAAGATGTTGTGCACCAGTTTCAACAGGTAAATTTGATACCTTTCTGGGGTGGTAATCACTCCATCCCACAATGTTTTTCAATTTGGAATGTCCCAAATTATAGTCATCTTTGAAAAGTCAAAGCATAAAAACATTATGATTTCCAAAACTATCCCTTATAAATGACTATCATATATTTAGAAGTCTGAATAAAAGGCCAAGTTAGGAAATCAATGAATGTATTAATTACATGTCTCCCTAAAAAGTTGGGATTCCCAAAACTAACTAACATGCTAACATTGTTCTATGGGGGAAGTTAAGTCACTTGATGGCACACTTTATTATCTTGCTGTCTCGTTTTACAAATTCACACTTCTGTCAACTCCTTGTGTTATACTTAGCATCTGGGGAAACTTGAGGAGTTTTGGTCTACCTTGGATAGTATTGATCAGTCTCTCTTGGTAGTTGATCCAGAACAGGCACATCATGCTACAGCATATCGCCTAATCAATCTAGGTGAGCTATCTGTTGAGTTGCACATATCATGGTTTCTTTTCGTTTGTTCTTATTAATATTCTTTGTTTCTTTCTTTTATATCAGGAAATGATTGTTTTCTCATGTTACTTATAGATGCCCTTGATCCAAGATCTTTGCCAGAGTAAGAATTCATCTAGGAGTATCTACTTATGATATTACTGCTAGTTTTTGTTTCTCATCCAGTATTGACTGACAAGTTGCGGCAGGTGTCGTTTTATAGGTTCAGATCCAAAGGTGAAGGCTTTGAGGCAGGTTTGGAGAAGAAACTGTAAACGATGGTACAACCTCCAACCTGTTCTCTGATTAAAATGTCGGTTTATTTGTTTATTATATATAAAATAAAATTTTGAGGTTAATGGCGTCTATATAGCTTTTAATATGCTTATATGTGTTTTCCATGAATATTATAGACATTGTTAGAACTTACTGAATACTTTCAGGAAAAATTCATAACTCGGTTCCTTTTCTGCCATATCTGAAGTTCCTTTTCTGCCATATCTGAAATTCATAGAAGTTTTGTAATTTTCGTTGACTTCTATTATTAATTGATTCTATTTCAAATATGACTGAAATTTAATCCAAATACCAAGTTTAAAACCATAACTTGCAATATTGTGTGTGGAAGACTATACCTTTTCTTCTTGATTCGATGAGAATGTGCAAAAATGGGACAGACTTTTCTGCCCCCTTCACCCAGATGATTGAAATAGTTGTGGTTATTAAGGATGTATATTTCTAATGGCTGGGGAAGTTGTTGAAGCTTTCTGTGTAGGTATACAATACATACCTACTATAAGTCTTTACTGTTATTGTATTTTCTCATGGTAGTCAATGCTGTAGTCTATATTAATATGTTAATACATCCAAGGATAGACATTTTCTAAACAGTTAATTCTTGCAACTGCCCACCCCGAAAATGATCCGATCTGGGAATGTACCTTCTGTAGTTGTAATTTTACGTTACTTGTCTAGTTACCTGGAAAATACAATCCTTTTGCAAATGTGCTCCATCCACTCACCGTATACAACTATATACATAAATATTAGCATGCATTTAAGAGCTTATGACATAGTGCGATTGCAAATGCTATCCGCGCTAGTTTTGTGTCATGGTTTGAGTCATGGAAATTAATTTCTCTACAATAAGGTTGGGGTAAAGCTGCCTATCATCTCTCACAGACCCTACTGTAAGTAGGAGCCTGATGCGCCAGTACGACCTTAGGATGAACATTTGGGCACATGTTCTGATATTATCAACTAGAGAACCCTCGAATTAAATTTTTCATAATCTCTTGCATGTGCTCTCTGGTTTTGTGCATTTTGTTCCCATTCTTTGGACAATTTCTGCTTGATCATTTCAGTATTTCTCATTAATAATAATTTTATTATGAACTCTGTTTAATTACAAAGGATGAAGAACAAAACTCTCCCTGAAAATCTTGCAATTACATTGGAGACTCAACTTCCAGGGCCTCCAAATATCCAGAAGAATGATCAGCAAATTGAATGTGGAATTTGTTATGCACAATGTCTTCCCATTGGTAATGTTTTTAATGCATTATTACATATCGCAAACTTATATATAATTTGTTTAGTGATACTTGTGGTTCTAATACAGATGATGAACTGGGAGCTAAAAGTGGAAGTGGCACTGATTATACTTGTGACAACAGCAATTGCAGTAGGGCTTTCCATAGTCTTTGTCTTGGGGATTGGTTGCGTTCCATCACCACTACGAGACAGTATGTTTGATTTTTCAGATCTCTCTTTATATTTTGTTCAAGAGCAGAGATTTACTCATCTAGTGGTATTTGACATAGTAATGGAGTTCTAATCTAAAATAGTTGGTATTATTCTCTCTTGTGCCTTCTCTGGCACCATGGCATTGTTGGCACACATGCAGACTGGTAGGCCATAGCACTAAAGTAGGTGGTGCAGAATGTGCGTGTGTACCAATTTGGGTATGAAGATCTTATTTACGATTTTATTATTTTAAGTTTAATATTCATGTATTTTTTTTTTAACTAATTGTTTAATTTAGATCTTAGTAATATTTAGTTTCTTATTTAAGTAGGGAATGAGTTTCAAATAATATTAAGATTTAGTTTCTTATTTTGGATTAGAGTTTTAGATCCATAACAAGTATTGGGTCTCTGCATTGTAATAATTAGCTTCAGATTAAAGGTTGTGGCCGTTTTGTGTCAGGGCTGTGGCCCTTGTTCTGAACTGGAAAAAACATAAGACCCTGTGCTGGTGGTGGAACATGGACTGAACCTGTAAAATGGTGTAGTACACTGTAGGAAAAGAGACGAGAGAGAGAGAAGGGAGATGAAGAACAAGAGCAACAGCCCTAACACACGATGGCCACAACCCTCAATACTCAATATTAGGCATCAGGTCATCATTGAAATTTTTGTTTAAAAGATCATTTTGAACTTCAGCAATAGTTGACTCATGAAATATGCAAAGGAGTGTGTCTAGCTTTGCATGTGTGACGGCAGTCTCAAAACCTGCCATGCTTTCCTGAGCACACCCTTCTCCCCTCTGGTATAGCTTTGACTTGCTGGCTTATGTTCACTGTGCCTGTTTGTTTTGCAGGTCATTTAATGTTTTGTTTGGGAATTGTCCTTACTGTTCAGAGCCGGTTGCAGTTAAAATTAACTCTAAGAATTAAACCCTTGTTCTTCATGCCGTCATAGATCTTGGATGATCTCATTTTCTTGGGCACAACCCTATGGCAAGAGGCAGAGAGTCCTTTGTTTCACGAGACACCAACGGTTAACTGCATTTATAAATTGCAAGTCTGAGCACCTGGAGATGGATATGGGGACATGGCAAACTCACCTCTCTTTGTTCTGGCTGATTTTACTGCAGAAGGACTGAAGCTTCCTTTGGCTACGAAGATATTTTGAAGGGCATTAAATGTAAGTTTAAACAACATCCTATGAATGCTCATTTCTTAAACTTCTTCTTAGAATTTTTGGTTTATTGCTGATTTGGCTATGCCACCATGTGGTCCACTGAGGATATGTTTTCTTGACCCTTAATATTGTTCTTTCAAAACCTTATCTATTAGTCCTTTTCTTGGCCACTTTCTATCATACTTGATCAGGACTAAGCAAAGTGGTCCAATTTATCTTATTGTCTTAGCTCTAGTTGTTTTGTTGTCAATTCACTCATCTATCAGATGATAATGTAATTTGCGTTAGCAGTTAAGCCATCTTTGTTATGTTCATTGAAAGATAATTATTATGGTTGAGTGTCTCTGTTAGTAATATATGTACAAATTGAATAAAATGTTCCTACTTGAGTGAAATTTATTGCTGAGTATATAGCACTGGACGCTTGTTTTCACCTTCAGTCAAGTTCTTTTAGGTCTGTCATTTGCTTAAGAACTGTAAATCAAGCTGTTGTAGGCATCCTTTGTTTCTTAATTACTCGGTGAAAGAATAGCCTTCGCAGAGAAGGGAGGTGGTTTGATAGGCAAAAGGTTTGGACTCTGCTATTTGCTATAGCTACCTAAGTTACCAGTAAAACAGGACACTATCAAACAATGCAGATGTCTTAAGCTATGACAAATGATTAAAGATGGGCTGATGTTGACATGGTTAACCATTAATTACAGTAAAACCACACCATGACTCAGGTGGTTAGAGCGTTTTGCAATGGTGATAGTTCCGAAGTTCAAATCAGATAAAAAATTTGCTGGAAATGGTTGGTTTGAGCATGGAGAGGATACCATGATGAAGCGAACGAAGAGAAAAAGGGCAGGCATAAGCAAGTGATGCCCACGATTGACAACCAGGGCTCTCATCCTCAAGAAGGCCCAAATGAAAGACCCAAGCCTACATGCATGGAGCATCCCAGGAAAGTCCTAGGAATTTAAAATTGGGCCTGTCAAGTCCGTTTGAATTTGGTTGTTGATCCCAGTTTCGAAATAGATTCTGAGAGATGGAGCAAGCTCAATGAACTAGTAGAAATAGGAAGAGAACCATAGAGCTGTTCTCAAGGAAAAACATTTTAATGTGGAGAATTTTTTCAATCTCTTGGAAGAGATAGATCTCATAGGTAACCTTACCGATATACTACAATTTTCATAATATTGTTCGTTAAGAATAAGAACGGTACACAGATCCCTAGCCCCATTTGAGTAAGACTGAAAGCATCAGTACGTACGAAAGTAGAAAAAACCCACGCCGACCAGACTTCTGGTAGGTACTCTTCAAATCGTGCACGGACCTTGGCCTAGGGCTTCGTGATGAGGTGGGACGGGTCGATCCATCTTTTCAAAAATGTACAACTGAACTGAATACAAGCATCAAGTTAGCCATGTTTCCTAAATGAGAAAGGAGTTGTACTGTCCACAGGCTAAACATTGGAGAAACGGTTGTACTAATTGTAGAACATAAAGATTGACTAAACAGAATAAATAATTCAAGCTGTGATGGGGCCGGAATAGATAGTAGTACTGGTTTTTCTCTTCTTAGGTGTGTTAGATGGGGAAATTTTATTTTTTTAATATTTGTTCCTTTTGCCTATCATATATATTTAGACGATCTGATTTTCTTATATTAAAATTTTAATTATGTAGTTTGGAGTTCATAGAGTAGGGTAACAGAATTTTGGGGGATAGAGGATCTCGTGCTCCTTCAATTAAATTGTCTGATCTCATATTTTGAAATAGGATCAATTTTTCCCATTTACCTTGTCCTCATGTTTCAAATTCTTTTTTTTGTCACACTGGATTAAAACAATTAGTTTATTAATTAAAAACTAGAATGTCATGAGATGGGAAAAGTGTTGGGATATGAGATAGGAAATGTGGACAGAAGTTGTTTTATCCATCAATAATTCAAGGAACTAAAAAAAATTAATCAGAATTTTACTAAAAAATTAAATTGTAGTGTGTAGATTTAAAGTGAGTCATATTCAAAATAAATCTTGTTTATATATTTTAAATTTTGAATAATTTTTCTAAGCAAGCATCATCTCTTTTTAAAGAGAGTAATGATATAGAGATTCTTAAAATATTATCTCTAAGCTTATGCACTTTGATGTGATAGAGATTTGAGTCTGAGTTGATTAATTCCTAAACAAATCAAGAACAAACATGCAACGATACAAATTATTAAAAATCAATTTAAAAATGATATTTTAAGAGTCATAAGAATTTTTCATTTTGAAAACACATCCATCCTCTACACACACGTGACTGATGACCCACCAAGGCCCCAACTTGATGTGCATGGCTCAATAGTGGCCAGCTGAGTCACCCAGTCATGATATTGACTAAACTAATAATTCATAGCTAATGTAAAAAATTTCATCTTCGACACTGGAATAAACCCTTTAGAAAGTAATGTACAAAATACAGTCTTTTCACAATCATTTAAAAGCATATTATTGGCACATAAAATGTGCAACAAATAATACAGATACTACATATACAGCCACAAGTTAACATTGGCTTTTTGTCCACTCCTTTTCTCACACACTTTAGATTTTCTATTATGAACATGAAAACAATTTTTTATTCCCTCTATACATGCATGTGCATGGCTTCCAATACACAAACCAGTTCTGTATAGGGGCATGTAAGCAAATATGAACAAATACCATACATGTATATCAATATATTGCTAAGAGCCCAAAAACCAAAAAAAAAGAGATAAATATTCAAAAACTAAAATATGCCGACGAGATTTGTTCAAGTTAGTTCAAATCTATGGCATACATATAAATTTTGAATATTTTTTCAAATATTTTTTTTTTGAATACATAACATTTCAGTTATTCGAATGGTATTCGAATATATGTGACAACGGAGATTTTAGATCCCCTCTATACATTCAGGTGGGGTAACCGGGTACCGGGATTTGTCGGTGCAGTAGTCGTAGATCATGTGGTTTATGCGGACCCACCTGTAACTTCGAGCTTGGATGGGGTTAAGTTGTTTGTAAGCAGCACCCTCCCACCAGTTGGATGGGTTAGAAGCACAAGTAGAGGGTCCTGGGACTGGGCAGCCCACGATGTCGAAGTCCTTGTAGTAGGCATAGAAAGGGGCTTTGCTCCAATCGATCTTCTCAAGCCCGCCTCTTGTTGCCCAATTATCAGCTTCCCAGAGTGAAGAGTAGATTCCCATGGGTTGGAACTTTGGGAATGGGATTCCTCTAGCTTCATTGTTCTTGTACACCCTGATGGGTATGTCATCCACCGAAAACCTACAGTGCCATTCACCAAAATCCTCATTTGACAACATTCAATCTTTTGATTGGAGATTAGGTTGTAAAAGAGGTCAAACATGATGTGAAACTTATAATAGTACTATATATTAAAGCCAAAAACAAGTTTGTCTTCCACAAATCTCTTATGTTGTGTTTAGTTGGCCCATTTAGAGATAAATTTGAAAAAGGAAAGAGAAAAGGTGTGTGAAACTAAATAAAATATAGGCATATTTTATTCACATTTCACCTACCTTTTCTATTTCTCTTTCTAAATTTCTCCCAAAATCTTTTAACCAAAGACAACATTGAGGCAAAGACAAAAATCTCATTTTTCAAATCTCTGCACTTCTTATTAAAAAAAAAAGAAGTTATTTGAGTATCTTTTCAAAGACAAGAATCACGTGTGATTCGCCTTTAAAAACAAAAAGCTCACGTGATCATGAAATTCCCGGAAAATATTAGGGAACATTCAATAATTTTTAGCCCTGGTTTTCAAAAACTTTTATTTTCCAATTTTTTGTTTTCATGTATTTTAGTCAATTTCCTTTAAAGTTTTTTTATTTATAAAATGGACCTAATCTAAATACACTTAAAATATTCACCCAAGAAATAAATACACTTAAATTTTAAAGAAGCATTTACACACAAGTCATAATTTATGAACTTGTACTCCATTAAGGCCTAATTAAGATTTTTTGAACTTTCAAGTCTCATTAAATTTTTAATAATCGAAATTGCTCTTCAAATAATGATTGTTCATCATTTATGATTTTCTATAAAGGAATATGATAATTTGACATTTATTTTGATTTTCAAAACTTTCAAATACCAACTTTCAAATTGAAAAAACTAAAAAAAATTATGTGTTTTTTTTGTTGAAAACATTGAATTATTTTTTTGTGCAAAACTGAAAATTTTGTATCGATAAAGGAGAATGATGATGGAAATTGATGTGCAAAATTGAAAAAAAAAACACTTTAAAAATGAAAAAATTGATAATGTTATCAGTTTTAAAATTGGAAAAAATTGATAATCTTCTTGGTGTTGGATAGTTGAATCAAACCAATAAATAGAAAAGCAAAAACGTTTGATCTCATGCTCTATTTTTTCATTAGTTAGCAAAACAATTATTTGAAATATTACTATACAAAATTGATAATGTTCTTAGTTTTAAAAATTAGGAAAAACTGACAATATTCTTAATTTTACTAAATAGGATTTATTGGTTCAAAAAACCTTAGATAAGGCCTGAGCTACCATAACATTTATAAATAAGACTTTTAGATAATTAACTCAAAATTAAATTAGTTTGCTAACATAGGTAATTCTATTTCTCATTTTGAGACCTAAATAACTGATATCAAGTTAATAAATGCATGTAAAATTCACTGAATTATTCCTAGGAAGTAATAGGTAGTGTGAGAAACGAAATTATAAGAGTTATTTAGTTCGGTGTAATGTAATGAACTTACACAACATGATAATGGTTCCAGAAGATTGAGTAAGTGTGGAAATCAGCGGCCGGATCGAACCAAAGGTTGACCCTTTGCTCCCTATCTCCCTTTCCATGTGCATACACATTTGTTTGGACTGTGTACGGCTGTCCTGTCCTATTCCCCAAGAATTCAAAATCCAACTCATCCCTTACATTATCCGTGTTCGAATTCATCTGCAACCCAATTCAAACCAAAAAAATAGAAACAATTCACTTCTCAACTCTAGCCTCAGGTGAATACTCTAGCATTTGAAAGAAACAGAAATACACAAAGAAAATATATATAGGTATACAATCATTGACTCACGTAGAAGGCAGTGACAGTCCCTGCAGAGTCACCAGCAATGAGCTTGATCTTCATGCTAACACGTCCGAACAAGTATTGGCTCTTGGAGACAAACCCACAACCTAAATTATACCATACATACAAAGTTACTAATTGCAGTTACAAAAAATAGACGCGGATAGAAAAAAAGTTAGAAAAAATAGAGAGGATCATTATTTTGTATTATATAGTCGATTAGTTGTATAGTACCTGAGTTTCGGTCTAGAGCTAGTTGGATGGCCCTCCCTGCATCGATTTGTCTGACATGCCAATCAGCCCAGGTAACTCTGAAGTCCTGCACAAAAGAGGCCGGTCGTCCTGAAACCGAGAGGGCTAGGAGGACATGTATGAAAAGAGAAAAAACAATATTTTTCATTGTGGCCATTTTGAGTTGTAGAGTTGTATTTTATGAGTGTATTTATGGTCAATGAGAAGAGTGGTATCATATATATAGTGAGTGAGAGAGGGGTAGAGACGCAGGAAGAGGAAGGTCACTGAATTTTTTTTTATCTCCAAATTCTTTTATCTTAATTATGTGAGAATTTCAAAACACAAAAATCTCAAAAAATAGTTGTATGGCGATAGAATAATTTGAGAAGAGAGAGGTCCGGTGCTGAAAACGACAGAATAATTGGTTAAGAGAGGTTTCGAGGGCGAAGAATAGAGAAGAGAAGTGATGGAAACTGCTGCATTCAAATGGAAAGCGCCATCACATAATTGCTTTCCATACAGCTAATGGTAAGCCGTCAATGGACCCGCCCACCATCTCTCTCTTTCTCCAATCTATTACTATTACTATTATTGTTGTTGTTGTTGTTCTTTTTTTATACCTTCCTGCCTCTTCTTTCAACGTCTACTTTGTGATTTTTCCTTTGTACATTGTTTAAACCTAAGTACAATGCTATATGCTAACTGCTAGTGCCACTGCCATCACACATTTTAGATGCTATATCTATGTAAATGTATCTACATGTAGCTAGTGTGTGTGGTACTTCCTGTTACTGTAAAAAATGTTTCACTGCCTAACTCCTCATGACTTTCTGATCAGCTTTATCGTCTCACAAATTTTTGATATATCAAACAAAACATATCATATTTATAAAGTTCATTCATAATAATCGAAAAACTCGGCCCATGATTTTTTTTTTTTTTGAAATAATATTGGAAAAGAAAAACTACATCATTTCATATGAAAATTCATTTGTGTTTAGGCAGAGAAAACACTATGTATTTATACTTGAACCAACTGCAATAATCTGTTCAATGATGCAAAAACTTTGTATAGAATGGACTTGAAATGAAGAATTTAAGAGCCTTTCTTGTATTGAATTGAAAATCGAAAGATAGTTCAGCACATTTTTGGAGCCAACGATTGAGAGAATATATATGACTTGATTTGGGTACTTGAAAGTTTTTTTCTTTAAATAATTATGAGTTATGAGGGGATGATAAAGAGAAGACATTTTGTCTGTGATGTAAGAGATTTATACGAGTTAAAAGTAGGGATTGGAAAAGAGAGAAAAAATAAAGATAAAAAGAGATAAAAAAAGAAGGAAATGGCTTCCCTTCAATTATTGGAGGGTATCGTTGAGTTCGTGGGGGCCTATCACGGGTCCTGTTTCAATAATTTGAACTGCTTAATGTGTAGAACTCGTTGAGTACTATACGTCTATAAAACATAACGTTGATTGGATATCGATAGCTGTGCAATCAAATCAGTTTTGTATGAAAAAAATGGACGGTGAAAAATAAACGGCTTACAAAAATCTGATTTGATCACATACCTATCGATATCCGATCAATGCGATGTTTTACAAGCAAATAGTACTGAACGAGTTTTACACATTGAACGGTTCAGATTATCGAAACGGGACCCGTGGTGGGCTCCCACAGGCCTAACAGTATCCTTCGGTCCAATCACGAACTAGAAGGAAGCCCTTCCCCAAAAAGAAATGGTGATTACGTAATTATTATTAGGGATCAAAGTCATAAAATATTTGTGTAAGGATTAAAGTGAGAAAAAACTTATATTTTTTAAGAGTAAAAGTGTAAGTTATTCTTTATTTCATGGATACAGGTTGAGTTTGGGTCAACATGAGTCACGTGATATTTTTTATCACAAAAGTAAAACAGCTGTTAAAAATTTGGAGTATAGTAAGAAAAACAAAATGAGAAAAACTTTTTTCTTAGTGACTGAAAAGAGAGAATAGTAGTAAATATAATTTATCCAATTTTAAAACTAAGATTTTAGGTGGTTTTGAAGAACAAAAACATTATGAAAGACATCAAAGTGTAGTGTTTCTGCATTAATGGAATATAAACATGGAAAAATAAAAGTGTACTGAAATTTTGCTCTCAATTATAAATGTGAATATTTTATTTACATTTATAATTACTAATAAAATGTTTCATTATAATGATTTCGGTGAATAACTTTTTTAAAAAATTCTTTATTAGTTAAAAAGTATATGGATTAATGAATTTTTTTCTTTTTTTTTGTATTATGTAGCATCAAGTTAATAAGTTCCAATCACAATTTTGAAATTATCCTGAGTAGTTAGTGAGTGTATTTCCTACACAATTGCTTAAGGTCCGATTTGTAGGGTTAGGCCTGGAGAATGGCATGGATGGTATGCTTTCCGACCGAACCAAGGGGCACGTAAGTTAAACCAAAAAATTGAAAAGAAATAAAAAATAAATAAAAAAGGGTCCAATCACTATTAATTGTACACCTGTAGACAGCCGAGAAGAGATTTGATATCTGAAGACTGAAGGTAGAAATGTAGGCCCCACAAATAGGTTTGAGGTCGGCACTTCCCTTGAGAAGTGGGCCATCCTATCACACAAAAAGCCTAATGATCCCTGGTTTTATCTTGGCAACAGTGGAGGCCCAATCGGGATAATTTTTATTTAAATACGCAAAAAGCCTAATGATTCCTGGATATTTAAAAATTGAAATTTGATAATTTACGACTAGAATTAAATATATTTTCTAGTTTAGGACAATCAATTTTTTATATAATTTAATTAAAGTGTTTTTACTGCATAATTTTTACGTAAAAATTACTTTACAACAAATGATCTGATACAAAATTCCAAAATGAAAAGCTATAACCAATCCATTTAAATTGCAATAAATAATACCATAACGAAATATCAAATTTTTTATTTTTTTATTTTGGAGTATATAAAAAACCAATGGCTGAGAACATGTGAAAAAAACATAAACCTTGACCACTTAATAAAAGGCAAAATTTGAATCAACTAAGCTCAATAGTTAGAGAAATATGACTTACCATATAAGGTCAAAAAAGTTTATTTCTATAGAAAATTCATACAGAATCTCTTACTAGAACGTAGTGGAGTTGGTATTTTTGTAATTAATAGTTGTATTGGTAGGTTTTTTTTGGGTATAATTTTAAAATAATAAAATCACATTATTTTGTACAAATTTTTTATATATATTTTTTCTATTTATATGACAGTACTCCACAGGGTGGGATTATTTATATAGATTTTTTTAACGGAGTTTTGGTTTTGGGTTGGAGATGAAATAGTGAATAGTTGGACCTACCAAACGGGGACTTAACATTGATTGGGAAAGACACAAATCACTTTTCTTTACCCATCATATTCATGGAAATGGAAATATAATAATTCATATAGCCAACCAATATACACCACGTGGCAAACCAAGCCCCACTTAAGGACCCACGCACGTTTTATTTGGTTTTTCGTGTCCCAACGGCAATACCATTTCAGTGTCATGTCCACGTGGGAGCACCTCATTGGATGGAGGGCATCGTCAGGGGGTTGAAATTGGGCTTTTGAGACGAGCCTGACGTTTGTACTCTAGCAATAACAGAGGGCCCAATAACACGTGTGTGTGTGTTTTGTTTGAAACCATGGCATAGTTGGTTTTGGTGGATTAGGGGTTAAAATAGTCATAAAAAATAAAATAGGTTATTTTAGTTACAAAAAATAAAATATCAAATCTAATCCATAATCATTATACTCCTCTTTCACAAAAAAAGTTAAAAAAATCAAAAAGTCAAAAAACTCTTCTCAAATCAAGTTTTTTAGCCCCAGGCTAAAATAGCCAAAAAGTTAAAAAACCAAAAAGTCAACCTACTTCCCAAACGGAGGCATATAAGTATAATATATATGATTAGATGAGTTCAAGACCCAACTCACAAAAATATAAACATTTTACTGGAAATTTTGATCCATCAACTCTTGATTCTATCTATTATCTCTGAGCCTGAGGCGGTAGTATTTTTCCACGTGTCTAAAATGTCAAAATTTATTATCAAATGTATAATATTCTTACTATATCCTCAATTTTTAATATACAGTGGGAGATTTCAGCTTCCTTATTAATTATAAATTTCAATTTCAATCAGCACATTTGACCTAATACTCATAGTTATGTAAATAATAGTGAAGTGATTGAGCTTGGGTTTGGGCTTGAGTTTAGACTTAGTAATTGATTGTTAGGTGAGTTAGTTTTGTTGATTTTCTAATTGTTGTAAACTAATAGTCTATTTGATGATATATAATATTCATTATACTTGTAAATTGTAAATTGTAATTACTCTATTATTTTAGTTAAAACAAATTTTGTTATGAAAATACGTGCAGAAAGTAGAGAGAATAATATGATAACTTATAATAATTGTTTAACTTTTTAACTACAAACCCAAGTCCCCAAACGGAGAGGATATCATATAAGTCAGATGAGCTTTGACGGTCTAAATTGCTAAATGAATGTGTGGCTTTGGCTATTTTAATTAGTAATACTACAAATTCAAATTTAACTATTCAAAAATTATTCAAAATTATCATCTTATAGTTTAAATTTATTCTATATATAAACCCCACACTATACTAATTTAATTTTCACCACACAACCACTCACCTAGTAATGGATTTTTTTAAAATTGCTTTCGTAATTATCCCTTTTGAAATTTGCCAAGCCTCTCATAATTAATTTTAATTGTAAAATAGACAGAGGGCCAAGACACCACAAAACAAAGTTCCAAGATTGACCCATGCCAAAGATGATTTACTAAAACGAGTGGTGCAAATGGCACTTTTTATTTGTATTCAAACATCATTCATTTTATTTAACACATTAATGATATAATAATTGTCACATTAATGAATAATTTTTTAAAGAAAAATATTAGTCTGTATATTATTTCTCTTATATAAGAACACTATTTTTATTTTAATTGTCGCACTATTTTTATATTAAATTTTCTTTTTTTAAATCACCTAAAAACACAAAACAATGAAAATTAGAAAGAATTGCAACTTGAACCATGCTATGGATGGGCGAAGGCTTTTCCACCACTTATCATGACGTGTGTTAGGACAATAATCACTTTCAGCGGCGGGAATAATAATAGAAACATAGGTGAGGTTAGTTTGGACGGATTGAATAGTGAGAAATTATAATATAATAGATTGTTAGTTTAGGTATAAATAGTTTATAGACTATTTGATCTCATGTTTGTTTT